TGAAAGCTACCTGAAGTTCTACATATATTTACAGTTAATGATATTAGTCTTTAACTGTGAATACATTTTTCCTCACTGCAAATGTCCTCAAAATGTCAAACTTTTCTTTTAAAGTAAATTTTTTAAAACTTCCTTAAAGGGAATCTGAGCAAAATGATTTCCTGTTTGTGCGTTAGAAGGCTGGTAAGAGCACCAGCAGACTTTTTTCATCAAGAGCAGACTCACATTCTCTGGCATCAGTTGAATTCGTGGACGTGTATGCATTTGGGAACATTTTAGGTTTGGGTGGATTTCAGAAGAAAAATTATAAATCAAGACTGGAGTAGATAAGATAAGGAGGAAAAGAAACTCTTTCAGCATCCAATCACAGAGCAAAAGTCTCAGGCCTGGTTTTTAAGGGCCCTTCTTGGGAATATTACACTGCATTGCCATCATGACATTTTAAGATCCGTGCATTGAAAAATTAGCAATGCAACCCACTCTGTACCTCCACTGAAGAGTGAAGCTGAAAGTGGTTAAAACCTGTCGTAAAAGTGGAAACAAATCGACTGTGAAACACGCTGGTGGTGAAATCTGATCACGGCAGGTCGCACGGCGGGATGGTGTGCCTTCGATCGTAAGCAGTGTCATCGCTCTCCTCGCCGTCGCTTACTTCGCCCAGAACCCTCTCCCTCTCCTCTTCCTCCTCGGTTTCACTCTCTCGCCTCAGTCGCTCCCGCTCCCTGTCTCTTTCTCTCTCTCGGTCTCGCTCTCTCTCCCTGTAGGAGCGTGGCAGTGTGGGAATCTGAGAGTGTGAAGAGACCGAAATGAGATCATGCAGCCTGCGCCGACTGACCAACATACTTAAATTTAACATGCTAAATGTTAAAGGTCTTTCCCCAGGATGATGTCATCATAGTCATATTATTAGGTTCAAGAGTTTGAGTTTATCTGCATCCAGAAATCTTTGATGCATTTTCAATATACATGATAAAGTGGGCATATTATATTAATTTCTCTGTAGTTTTATTTTATTTTTTTAAACTCTATTAGAGTAGCTTTACATGATTTGCAGTTCAAAATACTCCTTAGTTATCTTAATGCACAGGTGTCGAACTCCAGGCCTCGAGGGCCG